TATAAAGTAAACAGTTTGTTGCCTAATGGAGCTTACCATTTAGAAGATTTAGATGGCACCAAGCACATGAAGTTCATTAATGGCAAATATTTAAAAAAATATGTTCCTTCCTTATGGGAGAATGAACAAATAAAAGCGTATACAAATTGCGTTGAACGATCGTAGATAAATAGGGCCAGAACGAAATACGTTCAAAGAAATTTCTTTATTATCAAATATACATTACAAATTGTGAGATACAAAATACTAAATGCTCTATAAGCTACAATTGAGAGAAAACTAATTTCTCGGTCAATTGCCAAGCAAGAGGGTGAACCAGCCTTGGTCGCCATCCTGATCGCACTGCTGCAAGGGTAGGCAGAGAGGCTGAGAAGCACTCTCAACAAGCAAAAAGGAAGAAAAGCACCCTCAAATCGCCTGCCTAATCACATTGTTGCAATAATGAGCAAGGAGACTGAGAAGTATTCTCAGCAAGCAAAGTGACTTGAAAAGCATCCTCAAAAATTGTCTTCCATCATTGAACTCCTTATAAAAAATATAGAGACGATGGGAAGAACTTTGCTGGCCAAAAAATATTTCCTATATCTCCCATACCCAAGGTGACATCAAAACAGATAGCAAAATGGGCAGATCAAATGATCCATTTCTATGGAAGACGAAAATTTTGGATCAATTGTTAAGATGCCAAACGATGGTAGCAAATTATTTTTTGAAGAAAAGTATGAAAATGAAAATGGTGAGTGCGAAATACACACGTATTTATAGAGGCATGAAGGTGAAAAGATAGAATGTGAATGGCCACATTCATGCCTAATAACTGAAACGTCTTAGGAAAAGAGATGAAAATACCAAGGAAGAATGTACATGAATCTTAGCATAAAGCAATTAAATGCTCGAGAGATTGACGATTAAGGACAACGTCAATCAATACGCAAGTAGACAAACTAGTCATTCATTAATGACGATAACTGTTGTTACATTCAAAATTAGCAATGGCAATTAGTGCGAAGTTACAAAAGGAAAGTTAGTACGAAGTTACAAAAGGAAAGTTAAAGCATTTGATGTCTTAATTACAATTCACCCTAGGCTGAACGAATTCTTTCCCTAAGTCTCCCCCAATCTTCACTCTACTGAGAAGAAGCGACATTTAATTCAGCTACAAAATCGTCATCAACTTCCAGCTTTTTGTACTGCTCAACCAAAGACTTGGTTCGTTCAATTCCTTTGGAAGCATTACACTTTTTAGCAGCCATTCTTGCCCTACAGTCGTCCATTTTTGCTCAAAGCTCTTTCATCTCTGTAACCAAACTTGTCATCAAAGAGTCTTCGATCATAACGTCGGAAGAGATTTCTTTTAATTCATCCTCGGCTTTGTTAATCTCTAGAAACAAAGACTCTCTTTCAGATGCAGCACGAAGGTATTGAGTACTCCTGGCCTTCAGTTCAACATTTTTGGCTAGCAAGGAGAGGATGTCAGAGTGAACAACCTTCAACATCACTTTAAAGTCAGCAGAAACATTGAGCGACGGAAGTGTGAGTGCTTGCGCCAATTTCGCACTCAACAGCTCAAGCTTATCCTTATGTTTAGTAGCACTAGCCTGGCCGATATCCATGTCCATGAAAGACATGTACTCAAATACCGACTGCTTGAGAAACTTTATATTTTCCTCTGAAGAAGCAGAAGGATGACTGGTTGAAGTAGGGTGAGACGTCTTGACTTGCCCCCAGGAAGTAAACAAGTCCTGGATGGAACGCACAATGTCATCAACATCCTGCAAAGAAAAATGTCAACGTTGAGGGATTTCACTACAATAAACGAAGCGAAAATGAAAGTGAAGCAAAAGGTTACCTCATCAGCAATCCTAGGAAGTTCAGGCATATTACCAGTTGGCTCCACCACCTGTGGGAACTTCCCCTTATCTAGGCGAGAAGACTCTGCCACAACGGGCAGGCCCATGGGAGCCTCTGCATAATTCAAGAAGCAATAAATCAGAAACCAGTAGCACGAGCAAAGGTAAAACATCAAAATATGTATTACCTTCTGGTTCAACGTTTGGGGGTCGGTGCCCTGGGAAGAAGGTGACCTTTCTACTGGTTGTGATGAAGGTTCCGGGACTAAGGGTTTCTCTTTAAGCATAATCCCTTCATCAGCTGATTTGGTTGAAACAGCTTCAGCAGAAGATGATGGAGTAGAGGCTGCCAAAACCAAAGCCTTTGAAGGAGAGGCTGAACGTTTCTGAGGAATTCAGGTAAACCATTAGTACATAGAAAAGTATGTTTGTGAATAAACAAATTCAATTACCTTTCTCCTAAGGATGAGAGGAGCGTCATCATCTTCATCATTATCATCCTGCAAAATGGGAGCTGCTGAAACTGGCCGTTTTTGGCTTAAAGCACCTTTAGCTGCAATAGCCTTGGCAGGTATAGAAGCAGATGGATGGATGGAATGTTTAGCGCGAGTAGGGGAAGGATTCCTAATGGACACAGGGGTGACCAAAATAGGAGAAGTAGAGGAAGTGCCTAGTTGGTCCAGTAAATGGAAGGCACGATTAGCATCAGCTGCAAACAATCGATGTTTTACTGATGGCCAAAGCTATTCAAAAAGAGGATGGACAGCACAGCTAGAATTGAAAGGGGCTAATGAAAATTTGCTCGTTAAAAGAATGTTGCGAGCATCGATAGCTTGTGCCTCTGCCTTATTAACAGTGTGAAAGCGGTCTGTCAAATTTTTGGAATAACAAGGAGGAACAGACCAAGTTTGGCCAAAGTTGGCGAGCAAAAAATTGGGGAGCATATATCTCAACCCCAGCTTTGGCATTGGTTCCAGTTAAGATATCGTGGAACAATTCCCTCCCAATCAAAAACTAAACCTAAACAAGCAGAGAAACACTCGCACTGTCTAGGGTGGATGGAGGTTGCACATAATCTGGAGTCAAGTTAGCAGGAAAAGGAAAGAAAGAAGGAATCAAATTTAAGGTATAAAAGAATGAAAAAATGTCCTTACTGGACATATTTACAGGGGTCAGTGGATCAATGGCTAGCCCATAGCAGCTAGCAAAACGAAGGAAAATTGATGGAGCACCAAGTGGTGGAAAATATACTCCCAACCATAGTTGAGTGAACCAAAGGAGACCACTGCTAGTGGGAGATGCACCATTCTTCAGTTGAAACTGAAGGGAAGCCATGCCTCTATAAAGGGCGGCTAAAAAGAAGGAACATAAGTTCAAAGGCCTACCACACGCCAATTCATGCGCTATGGGTAAGTAGCTCATAGAAGGTTTCATACTTGGCATGCAAAGAATATATTTACAGAGCCAAATCTGAAGAAAGGCCACACGCTCGGCATGGGAAGGTTCAGCGCTTGAGTGATTATAAAAGCCTTGCAGGTTTGAATAGGACTTAGTAAGTTTCTTGTCAAATTTTGGGGCAACACTGGAAATCAAGATACCAGGAAAGATGGTATCGCCCAAAGGCGGAAGATTTACTAAGGCTCCAACATCCCTTAAAGTAATAGACATGGGACCAAGAGGGAAAACGAAGGTGTTATACTCAGAAGACCAAAAACTCAAAGCAATATAAAAAAGCACTAGGTCAAAAATCGAGAGTTGAAGAGAAATTTCTAGTAAATCTGAAATCTTAGTACGATCAAAAATCGCCTTGGTGGGGCCATGACTCACAAGACGTGCATGCCATCTACGAAAAATAACATCAGCTTTGGGCCAACTGTGAATACCTTTTTTTGCGAATCGGCCTCAATGGCAGAGAGTTCAGGAACGGAGGACCTTGAGTGCAAGGGAACAGCTGGGCCACCGCCACTTGTCCGACGGCTTCGGCATTATTGAACGATGGACCCAAATAGAATTCATTAAGGTCAGCACTAGCTTGTGCAAGGAAGTTTGGATTTACATATGGCCTAGTAAGGATTTTCTGGAAATCTTCAAAACTAAAAGAATCATCAGATTGAGTTTTTGAAATCCCCATTGGAAACAAAGTACAGTTTTGATAAGGTTTGCTTGAGAAACGTAGCAGAGAAGCAAGAAGATAAACAGTAAAATAACGAGGAAGAAGCGCGAAATATAGAGACGTGGTTTAGTGGTGCGATGAAATGGCGGTCCTTTTGGTTTATGAGGGTTTGTAACGTTGCACCTTTTCAGACTGTGGAAGGAAATAATGATTGAAATTCTTGGGAATTTCAAATATTACTAGAAAATACAAAGTGAATATGGCAAAGATTAATAATTAGTATTAATTCTGCCATATTGGGGGGTAATTGTTGATACACTAAAAGTGCAGCCCAAATCAAATAGCCCAAAGAGTAAAACCCAATTGGGGAATCCAGGATAAAGGTCCAAACATGATTATTGATGAATGCGGTGGAAGCCCACGAACACGGTAATATCATCACCCAAGCTTGCAAGACGCCCAGAATCTGAACGAATAGAATACCTTACGATCGCCCAGAGCGATGACCCCGTTCTCACCCAAACCTTCGAATTGCCCAAGATCTCAGCAAGCATAAAATATTATGGTTATCCAGAATAGTAGTTATTGAGTGATCTTATCACATTCCACGATTCAAGGAGCCCAGTTGAAGGCGGTTGAACGACAAAGAGTAATGGCAACAGTTAGGGACGGCAGTTCCACGACAAGTTAGCCACCATAAAGAAAGTGGGTAGTTATACAGCAATCAAGCAGTTTCCAAGCGGTTTGTCACGAAGAAATCACCAAAGGAATATAAAAAGAAGAGAAGACATAGAGAAAAAGACCCCGAATCAAATACTCTTAAACAGAGAATATGTAATTTCAATTTCTTAGTTTTAAACTTAAACGCTTCTTTTAGTACTCGTGTGCTTGCACCCCTTGGAGGCATTCTGTTTATTTTCAATTGTAAATCATCGCCAGTAAAATAACCCTTTTTGGGACTTCGTCTCAAGAGGTTTGTTCCTTACACAATCGTTTGATCCCTTTTTTAATTGTTAGCGATTATCCATGCGAAACACCTACAAATTCAGGAAAAAAGTCAATTTGACACCTTTATTGAAGTATCAAAACCTACTAGTGATCACTTCTTCGTCAACAATGCACTGCACTGGACCATGATCTTTGATGCCCTTGCGACTGCATTCGTCATATAGAAGTTCTCAACTGCAGGTTCAAATGGAGCCATATCCATCTTCCCCTTGATCTCAGGTCTCAAGGAAGATGTTGAAAAAGCTATTGGTTTTCTTTCGTCGGAATGCAAAAGATTGGGTGCCACAGTCCTCATTCGGGATCTGATAGCACTAAGAGTATCATAAGGCAGCTGAGCACCTGCCACCTTAGACAATGCTCTAATTTTTTTCCAATCATCCTTAGCATCACCCACTGTGGGGACTGCTAGTACAGTTGTTTGAGCACATCCCTCTGCATTTGCAAATGTCCCTTCTTTCTCAGAGAAAGCTGATGAAAGAAGAATTACATTGGCACGATACACGCCCCGATCACCATGGTGACCTTGGTAAACGACAAAGGCATCATCTGGAACTTTCTCCAAGTTCACATCATCAGCACCCATCAAATAGAGAAATTTGGCAGATTCAATGCTTTCGTTAGATTCTGGTACAAGTCCAAGGTCCAGAGCCGCAGCTTGGGCAGCATTAAGTAGCAACACATTAAGCCCGTTCCAATCAAGCCTAACAGCATTCGCATTTTTGGAAATGGCATCAACTGTTGAGAAAATTGCATCCTTGTCCTTCCGCTCAAAGATTCCAGCTCCAACAATGATAACTGGATTTTTAGCATTTGAGAGGGTAGAGCAAAAGGGATGGCGTCCCTCGGCAAGTTCGATCAGCGTTTGAGGGCCCGTGCCAAGATGTTGATGATCATAGTTGAAATCAGCAGCAGGGCCTATGTAACCAACCGTTGCACTGGTTGCTCGAACTGTTTTTCGAATCCTGGCATTCACCATAGCAACTTCTACCCTTGGCTGGCAGTTCAAGAGAATAAGCATAAATTAATAACCAAAAAAAAAAATATGAAAGACCAAAACCAACACGCATTAGTTAGTTATCAAACACTGATAAGGATACCATGTCACCAAGAAAAACTGTAAACACGTTTAAGTCGGGCAATGAAAATTTGTCCCTGTTTGAGCCCCATTTTTCAAAAATAAATTTTAAAAAAAGTGATTTTTTTGAAGAATATGTGGTTAAAAGGTAGGGAAACATTTTGGATTTACGTGCAAAGTTATTGGGATAATGCATGGTTGATAATGAGCTTATGAAAAAATGGGACTCAAACATGAGCTTTATATCTTACGTTCAAGACAGTCGCCAGATATCATATCAAAGTTCAGTTGTTTCCAGCTTTATAACTTAAGCCACTCAATACGGCTACCTGCAATAAAATCACAAGGACATCCCAAATCTAAAGAAAGGAATAACTTGCATGATGCGCCAATGATTACAAACTACAAATACTGAAGTGAACAACAGAAAATAAATCTCATAGAAAGCTTGATCCATAACTCTTACAGAACCCCGCTCCAAATTGGTTTTACTTTTATTTTTAAATTTATTATTCTTATATTTATTTATTTTTTCTTTTGCCATGAACAAATTTGTCAATAGCTTCGATGATTGGCCATCATGGTCTATTCTCAGCACTGACCTCAAACTCATACGTGGATGTTCTCCCATTCTTTTTATCTGATGGTTTCAGGGGTGCATTAACCACACTGGCATGCATGTTCCCTCACATAGTTGACAAAATCATCATATCACAGAATTATTTTTGTCTGGAGATCATGTCATTTCAATCACCTCATATTTCTCAATCTGCAGCAAGCACAGAAAATTCTCTTCTACAAGAAATTTGCCTCAATCCACTTCCAAAAGGAGAATCCATCACATCAATTACATTCCCATCAGGCCATAATCTCATATCAGACTTAATCTCCCATATTCAATCCAAATTGCGCGGCTAACAAATCTGATGGTTCTCATAAACATGAGTAACTTCCCACATAAATGAGCAGGCAAAAATCATCATATTTTTCAACACTGTTTATTTTTATCTAGCTTCTGTTATATATTTATGGTATAAATATAAAATGTGAAAGAAATAATCAAATTAGATAAAGTGCCAAAGTGGTGGGAAATGTGACATTTGTGTGGGACGTCAGGGGTTCGAATCACTTCCCACGCAGTTATTAAAATGTCTTGATTGGGGCCTTAGGCTCTTGGGCTTTCTTGACTAAAATAAATATTTTTTTCTTTTTTAATGGGTAAAACTAGCCAGTATTTTATGACTGTTTGTTTTTGTAACAACCCACTAACAGCTATTAAAACACCTACTACTCAGTCATTAAAATTCTGCACTAACATGGTGAAGACTATTACTACCATCTTGCCTATATAAACCCATATCTCGTTTTGGGAAAAGACACACAAAAAGAAAATAGAAAAATCATCTTACATCAATCACTCTTATCATATTGTGAGTTTCTTATATTCGGGTTTTTATATCTCTTCTGGAGTACAATTGAGAGTTCTAGAAAAATCATTCGTGATTGCTGTACAAGTGGTTTACGATCGTTGTATCCTGGGAGTGATTGTCCACGGAGGTCGCAGCAATTATTGACGGGCAATTTCACTTTAGGACATTATGCTGTCACGAGACTCGATCGGACGATAAGTTTTATATTTCTGCATTATATTGTTCAGATCACTACTGCAACTAATTAATTTTTTCTAACAATCTAAAGTGAAATTATTTTATAATTAGTTGCCATGTCTGCTGTAGAGATATCTGTTCCTAAGTATTCTGAAAAATCTGAGTTGTTTGATGGAAAGAATTTTAAGAGATGGCAAATGAAACTGCGATTTTATTTAACAACACTTAAAGTCGTTGATGCTATTGAATCAGATAAACCCAGTTTTGTAATTGCTGATAATCCCACTGATAAGGAAACAGAGGATTTAGCTAATTGGGAACATAAGGATTATATGTGCAGGAATTATATTCTGAATTGTTTAACTTTAGATCTGTATGATGTTTACTACTCGTGTAAATCTGCAAAAGAGTTATGGAATTCATTAGAAAAGAAATATGCTACAGAAGATGCTGGAACCAAGAAATTTGTTGTGGGAAAGTTTTTAGATTTTAAAATGAATGATGTTAGAACTGTGGTTAGTCAGGTTGAAAAATTGCAGATTATAATTCACGAAATTATTGCTGAAGGATATAAAATCTGTGAGGGCTTTCAAGTGTCAGTTATAATTGAAAAATTGCCACCTACTTGGAAAGAGTATAAAAATAGTTTGAAGCATAAGAGAAAAGAAATGTCCTTAGAGGATCTAATTATCAGGATTAGAATTGAGGAGGACAATAGAATGGCAGAACGTAAGGAAAGGCCAGATTTTGATACCAAGGCTAATCTTATTGAAGGAATTTCTGGGACTAAGAAACCAATTGGAAATTTTACAAGGGGTCAGAACTTTAAAGGCAGAAATAAGGGAAAACAACTTGTAGGAAAGAACAATCGGTCTAAGCCCCAATTTAAAAATAAAATTGTTGGTGACTGTTTTGTTTGTGGTAAACCAGGTTACTTTGCAAAGGATTGCAGAAATAGGAAAGGAAAAGTTGTGAAGCATCAGGCACATGTGGTAGAGGATGGGAATTTCTCTGCTATGGTGATAGAAGTGAATCTAGTAAGCAACATGACAGACTGGTGGGGAGATTCTGGAGCTACCAAGCATATTTGCTGCACGAGAGGTGCATTTTCTTCATTCACTCCCGCTAGTGATGGAGAATGTCTGTTCATGGGCAATGCTTCCTCCTCCAAAATAGAGGGGAAAGGAACTGTGACGCTTAGATTTACTTCTGGAAATATCCTTAATTTGAAGGATGTCCTTTATGTACCTGATATTAGGAAAAATCTAGTATCTGGATCTATCTTAGTAAAAAAGAGTTTTAAGATTGTATTTGAAAGTGGTCAAGTTGTACTGTCTAAGGGTGGTTCTTTTGTTGGGAAAGGGTATGCAGATGAGAGTCTGTTTAAACTCAATGTCTCTGTGATTAACAATAAAGTATCTAGCTCTTCCGTTTACTTGTTGGATTCTTATGATTTGTGGCATGCTAGACTTGGACACGTTAATAAAACTTCTATTAAAAAATTAATGACTTTGGGAAACATTCCCAAAATCGATAATTGTCCAAATTCAAAGTGTGAAACATGTGTTGAATCTAAATATTCTAGAAAACTATTTCCTCATGTTGATAGGACTACTTCGGTCTTAAGTTTGATACATTCTGATTTATGTGACTTAAAAGGATATGTTACTCGTGGTGGAAATAAATATTTCTTAACTTTCATTGATAATTATTCTCGATATTGTTATATTTATCTACTTAAGAGTAAGGATGAAAGCTATTCAAAATTTATTTCCTATAAAATTGAAGCAGAAAATCAGCTAGACAAAACTATTAAAGTTTTAAGATCTGATAGGGGAGGAGAATATATAGGAGATTTTGATAAATTTTGTGTTGAGAATGGTATTATTTATGAGACTACTCCACTTTATTCTCCACAATCTAATGGTGTAGCTGAAAGGAAAAAATCGAACCCTTAAGGATATGGTCATATCAATGCTAAGCTCTTCTGGATTACCTTTTAACATATGGGGGGAAGCACTTTTTACTGCATGTTATATTCTCAACAGAATTCCTAGTAAGAAAAATAATAAGTCTCCTTATGAAATGTGGAAGGGCAGAACACCTTCATATAAATATCTTAAAGTGTGGGGGTGTTTAGCTAAAACTTCTATTCCAGCACCTAAGAGAACTAAACTTGGTCCGAAAACTGTTGATTTTGTTTTTATAGGCTATGCTTTTCATAGTAATGCCTACAGATTTTTAGTCATTGACTCTAAAAATAATTTGATTGAAAAGAATACAATATTTGAAACTAGAGATGCTGAATTTTTTGAAAATAGATTTCCGTTTAAAGAAAAGTCTAAAGGATCAAGCAGTTCTTTTAGTATTCCTCCTAGTGTTAGAGAGGAGCCATCTGAATTAGAAGAAGCTGAAATTAGGAGAAGCAAAAGACCTAGGACCACTACTTCTTTCGGTCCTGACTTTATAACCTACTTAGTAGAGGATGATCCTAATACTTTTGGTGAAACTATGTTTTCACCAGATTCTATATTTTGGAAGGAAGCTGTAAATAGTGAATATGATTCAATTATATCTAATAATACTTTGGAGTTAGTGGACTTACCTCAAGGATGTAAGACAATTGGGTGTAGATGGTTGTTTAAGAAAAAACTTAAACCTGATGGTTCAATTGATAAGTATAAAGCAAGACTTGTAGCTAAAGACTATAAACAAAAGGAAGGAGTTGACTTCTTTGATACTTATTCACCCGTTACTAGGATTACCTCTATTAGGATGTTAATTGCAATTGCCTCACTGTATGATCTTATTATACATCAAATGGATGTCAAAACTGCATTTTTAAATGGAGACTTAGAAGAGGAGATTTATATGGATCAGCCTGAAGGATTTGTTGTAGAATGCCTTGAGGATAAAGTATGTAGACTTAAAAAATCCCTTTATGGCCTTAAACAAGCTCCTAAGCAATGGTACGAAAATTTTGATACAGTTTTGACATCAAGTGGTTATGTGATAAATGAAGCAGATAAATGCATATATAGCAAATTTGAAAATAATTGTGGTGTGATAATTTGCTTATATGTTGATGATATGCTGATTATGGGAACTAGTTTAGATGTGGTTAATAAAACTAAGTGGTTTCTGAACAAGCACTTTGAAATGAAAGATTTGGGTGTTGCTGATGTTATTCTAGGAATCAAAATAGTAAAACATTCTGAAGGAATTATTTTGACCCAATCACATTATGTAGAAAAAGTGCTTAAGAAGTTTAATTAATACAACTGTATTCCTACTAAAACACCTTATGATGCAAGCCGTCATTTGAGAAAACATTCAGGTCCTAGTGTTTCCGCTTTAGAGTATGCTAAAGTAATGGGCAGTCTCATGTATCTCATGAACTGTACAAGACCTGATATACCATATGCTGTCGGTAGACTTAGCAGGTATACTAGTAATCCTAACAATGAACATTGGGATGCTCTTATTCAAGTCTTGAGGTATTTGAGATACACTCTAGACTGGGGAATACATTATACCAAATTCCCTGCTATACTTGAGGGATATTGTGATGCTAATTGGATTTCCTTTACCAATGAAAGTAAATCTACAAGTCGATATGTATTTACATTAGCAGGCGGAGCTGTCTCCTGGAAATCCACTAAGCAAACCTGCATTGCTAGATCTACTATGGAATCTGAGTTCATAGCTTTAGATAAGGCAGGTGAGGAGGCTGAATGGTTAAGGAATTTTCTTATGGATGTTCCTTTGTGGTCTAAACCATTTCCAACTATTTCAATACATTGTGATAATCAAGCAGCTATCTCAAGAGCTCAAAATTCATCCTACAATGGAAAGTCTAGACATATTCGTAAGAGGCACAATACTGTGCGTCAGCTGCTTAAAGATGGAATTATAGCTATTGACTATGTGAAGTCAAGTGATAACATTGCTGACCCATTAACCAAAGGATTAGCTAGAGAACTAATTCAACAAACATCGAGGGGGATGGGGCTAAAGCCTATTATGTATTAGATCACCTATAATGGAAACTCAACCTTGCAATTGGAGATCCCATGGTCAAGGTTCAATGGGACAACAAAGTTATTGGAGTGGTCTGTGGGGGTACTACATTGGATTTATTCCAAACCCCTCCCTATGATGCGTAGTACCAACTGTATTGATTAGAGGATGAGCTAATACTCTTAATGCTTACTATAGCTGATATTCAGTGGGGTGTTTAAATACAGTGCACCCTTGATGGTACCACCTATTTGAGTGTGGAAGTGGGGTCGCTTCCTATGAGAATTGAGGCGAATTCTTTAGAGCACTCAAAGAAACTGGGAAAGTTCACGGTCGAAATGAACACAACCGCGAGAACTCAATGACTGTTCTAGAAATCATGTGTGTGTTCTATTGTCTCAGTTTGCAACTATAATTGTAGAGTTCAAGACATAGTTCACTCTACAGTTAGTAAGCTCGATAGAATATACAAAGCCAAGGTTCAAGTCGATAGACACATAAGCCTGCATGATTTCTACCGTACTCCAGAATAATATTTTCATTTATCTTATTTCTTTCATGTGGGGGATTGTTATATATTTATGGTATAAATATAAAATGTGAAAGAAATAATCAAATTAGATAAAGTGTCAAAGTGGTGGGAAATGTGACATTTGTGTGGGACGTCAGGGGTTCGAGTCACTCCCCACGCAGATATTAAAATGTCTTGATTGGGGCCTTGGGCTCTTGGGCTTTCTTGACTAAAATAAATATTTTTTTCTTTTTTAATGGGTAAAACTAGCCAGTATTTTATGACTGTTTGTTTTTGTAACAACCCACTAACAGCCATTAAAACACCCACTACTCAGTCATTAAAATTCTGCATTAACATGGTGAAGACTATTACTACTATCTTGCATATATAAACCCATATCTCGTTTTGGGAAAAAGACACACAAAAAGAAAATAGAAAAATCATCTTGCATCAATCACTCTTTTCATATTGTGAATGTCTTATATTCGGGTTTTTATATCTATTCTGGAGTACAATTGAGAGTTCTAGAAAAATCATTCGTGATTGCTGTACAAGTGGTTTACGATCGTTGTATCCTGGGAGTGATTGTCCACGGAGGTCGCAACAATTATTGACGGGCAATTTCACTTTAGGACATCGTGCTGTCACGAGACTCGATCGGACGATAAGTTTTATATTTTTGCATTATATTGTTCAGATCACTACTGCAGCTAATTAATTTTTTCTAACAGCTTCCACTAAAAACCTGAAGGAAAATCATGCGTGATGAGATAAATCCCTCACCGGTAACAACACTTGGTACTTATAACCATCTAACCCAATTACATATACATATTCAGCTGCAAATAAGCATTTCTTCTATACACAATGCCAACAAGTAACATTGGCCAGCAAAATTCTCAGGCATGTCACGAAATGGTTTATCAAGGGTACAAGGATAAACAGTGCTCTCACCTTCAATCCAGTTAATGAACATACACCAATCAGAATTGTGAAACCCATTGAAATACCTTGACAATGGTGTATCTTCCAAATGAATTTCCAAAATGCATTTCTCCATGGTCAGCTAGATGAAGATGTTTTTATGCACCAACCACTGGGCTTAGAGGGTAATTCTCATCGACTTGTGTCTGTAAATGAACATGTCATTCTATGGGCTCAAACAAGCACACTGTGCTTGTATCACTTGTATCTACCAATAATAATTTGTCAAGAAATTCTTGAGCTCCATCCAAAGAAACATTTAAAATTAGTCATCGAATCAGCACAACCAATACGTCACCATCAACAGAAATGATATTGCCCAGTATCAAACAACGGCCAACTTCATGCACCAGTCAACTGATGATTACTCATCTGTTTTCTATTATTTTGAGGTTGGATTAGTAATTTGAGACAGCCTCGCGTTTATTGAATGGTAGATAGTCAATTGTGGTGTACGTCATTCTCAAAGTTTTCCAGCCGTTCTACACTAGTCCACGAATAGCATATTCCAAAACTATGACTATACAATATTACCTCTATGAATTAATAATGTTGGGACCAAGAAATTTATTATATAATAGAGGTTATTAGCTTATAGAGGTCATACTGTACTATCATACTGTACTATGACAAGAGTATTCAGATCAACGCTATAACCAAAAATTAAGAAGCGCAAAAATCGAAAAACCTTACACTGTTACCTTGCCAGGCATCCAATTTAAAGCAAATTGGCAATGGTTAGAGAGGCCTACCAAGCTAAAAATCTATGTTGAGATTGACACTAGACATAGAAGTCATCAAAAGTCATAACCCATACATATCAATTAGCAAGGATGCTTACCTGTGTGCCAACTAAAAGAAAAACAATTGCTCTCTCCAACCCACTGATGGTAGTGTTCATGATATATCCAGAACGCAGGTCAGCATTTGGGTTTGGGGGGCCATTTCCTTCGCACCAAATATTATTTGACCCCATCTTGTTCAAAAAATCTTTTAGTGCCATCATGGATTCTGCATCAGACAACTTACCAGCAACCCCAACAATTTCCTCTGGTTTAGCTTGGTGCATGACCTCGCGACCACAGCAAGTGCATCCCGTCAGCTTAAAGTCTTGAAGCGCCCATCTGCACCATGAATCACGGGGTCATTTAGCCTCTGCCTCTTCAGACCATCATAAAAGAAACGTGTCTTATCTGATATCCATTCTTCATTGACGTCCTGCATATATGTGCAACAAAAGATTTAAACCTACTCTCATGTTTCAACAAGACAACTAGCAAATCAAGTCAAAGAGTTTGCATGAAAACTGTGGTCAATATGTTAACAATACATAACAAAGGAATAAATAACATCTTTTGAACACTGTCTGAGAGCAACTTCGCAATATTATACAACTCATGCACCGGGTGGGGTGGGGGATAGATAAATAAAAGGGGGAAGTTAATCATAAAACAAGAAAAAAGGTTCTCAACACTGGATCAATTTGAAAAAGTAAACAAAATCAGATATCAACATAGGGCTTGCGGAGACCCAATTTACAATATTCTCAGCTAGATATGGCATATCCTTTATTACGTCCATGTCTAAGCAGCATAAGTTACGAATACAATGAAATCATTTATTGACAAAATAAAGATGCCGCCAGAATTAAATTACGAAACTTAAGCTCTAGAAATCGAAAATGTAGAGACCTCTTAAACAACTGGCAACAATGCCAAATTAAGCAGCTTGTTGATTATTGAAGACTTTTGGTTTTCTCCACATGATGAAATATGAAGAGTGTTAGAGAGGAAGATGAAGAGTGTTGGAGAGGAAGATGAAGAGATGAATGCATTCACCATCATTATTAGTCATTATTATTCTTCTTAATTGTGTGACTCTTAGTAGTCTTATGCTATCCTATAAATAGGTTTGTCATGTACTCAAATCAAATAATTCATATATATAAAAAAAAAAGTTTCTCTCAAAATATACTTTGTTCTGTTCTTGTTACTGAACTGATTTGGTCTTGATAGAATCTATCCTTATTTCCACTGCATACTAAAATCACAATCAGAACAAACACAGCTTAAGGTTGACAGAAATTTGATTCAATACATAATCTAAGGTTGAAATTATCTCTAAGACAATGTCCGTCCGCCAAATCCTCTCAATAGCCTCAGCGATGGCTTAAAACAATTGATACGTGAAACAAAATTGATAGGAAAACAACACTACATTTCAAAATACCTCATTCAATCGTGGCAGAATGCGCATGACCTCTGGACCTCTACTGTCAATTCGGATGTTTGAGCCAACAGCATCAGTGATGTCAATGCTCTCTGTTCCCTTCAACTCCCAGTTTCAAGCTTTAAAGGCAAAAGGTTTTGAAGTGAGGGCTCCTACAGGACAAATATCTATCACATTCCCTAAAAGTTCACTTGTCATTAGTTTCTCTACATAAGTTCCAATCTCTTCTCCACTGCCACGACGCAGCATGCCAAGATCCTGAACACCAACTACTCAGTTGCAAACCTTACACACCTGTTTGATGAACATATCCTTACTGAAGATGGTTTTCAAAAAATCAGCATATGTTTGGCTAATATTTATAAACTGTTTTCAATCAGTCAAACTACTTTTATCCACACTCGTAGACACGTAAAGACTACTACTTATACCACTTACTTCTATCTATTTATAACTTAAACCGTTTATAAAAACTTCCAAAACATGCTTATAATTTACATTCACTTGACACGTTTATCTATAATAGATCAGCATATAGAAACAGCCTGAATTACATTAATTTAAAACATCTGGAGAGAATATAACTATTGCACTTAACATAATGAAATGTATTCAAGTTTAGGAATGTAGTTAGTTATAAGTTTGAACAAGTACAGTCTCAAGTGGACTACATTACGACAGGTTCCAAACATTATCTATTGAAGTACAGAATAGGCCTCTCTGAGACAATGTTGACAGTTGACCACTAAAGAAACAGATACTGACATATAGTCATGAAATCGATGGCAAGGTTTGTCTCGAAAAATTTCAGCCAGCTTATTCTGTTTCTTAGCTTCTAAATTCATGCTAGAAACTGCCATAAGCAGCCTAATAGAAATGAACCATTATATTGCCAATTTAACTTCTATCTAGAAGACTGAAAAAATTAATTTCATTAATGCAATAGAAACCTTAGTTGATGTACATCACTATGCCCAATTAGGAAGGTCAATTATAAGTGAACCAGATACAAACCTTGTACACTGAATACATCGAGTCATAACAGTTTTGACCAATGGGCCTAGGTTCTTATCAACAACCGATCTCTTCATTTCAGTAAAACAACCTCGATCAGAACCAAAAGCCATAGACTGGTCCTCAAGATCACACTCTCCACCCTGATCACAAATTGGGCAGTCCAATGGATGATTCATCAATAGGAACTCCATCACTCCTTCCCTTGCCTTCTTTGCAATAGGCGTATCAGTCTTAATCTTCATTCCTAAAGACAGATTGAGGAGAAAATATAGAAACTATTAAGAAAGATTAATTTTAGAAATCACAACCAACAAAGCGAGTTGTTGACCTCCAAAAATGGCTCCTCCACGTTGCCAACTTATAGTTACTCCACGTATTCCTCCCTGCGCAATGAACAAATGATCAGGCGCACACGGCCGGAATCGACGGGGGTGGTGGCGGCCGTATACACTCCGACAGTCAAGTCAGGTTTGGGTGGTCGGAACAGTGCCCAGGGGCTACACAAATCAATCAATAAAAAGGGGGGGGGAGGAGAATATATAAACTTGTTATGGAATGCTATGTATTGAGAGTTTCATTACCTTTGCCTCTTGTCAAACCTTGGGTATTTGTAGGTGGTATGAACCGCTGGATGTGGAACGCGTGTGTACATCTGACGGTATGAAGCGTCTGCTCATAGGCGTCAATCAGCCGCGCTTGTAGAGTGGGCGGAAGTTTGTTTCCCCCGAGTTGAATTGACATAAAGTTGATAAGTCACATCAAATAGCCTCATGGAGACGTCAAATCAATTTAAGCCTTAGGTGCAGGACAAATCTTAAATTGGCGGCGGATCTTTTAAGTGGGGTCCACTTGATCTCGACCTCGGAGGTGAGATGCTTTGGCAGATCAGTAGTAGGAATTGATATATCACTTCGGAGAAGTTTCGAGAGGGTCATTTTCAGGTCGGAGTAAACGGGTTCTGCGTATGGTGAGATGGCACTTCGGTATCGAGGCGCGAATGATCGAGATGTCACTTCGGTATCTAGGCGCGAATCATCGAGATGTCACTTCGGTATCTAGGCGCGAATCATCGAGGCGTAACACGAGTAACATGCTTACAAAGATTATACCCATATTAAGGTGAGAATGAAAATAATACTAATATCAAACCAAAAACTGTGGTTAGATCACTACACCGAAAGGGGGGGACAAAATGAATCAGACTTTAGACCAAATGTGCTGAATAGATCTATGATATTAAACCTCAAGAAACCGAATTCCTCAAATCAAATTGTAAAACAGAAGCCAACCATAGATGAATTTACATCATAAACAGCAGAACCAAACTTAGAGATGCATTGAAATGATCTGCAGGAGTAGCCCACATGCCCCAGGGAGGAGAGAAAAGAAGAAGAAAAAGAAAAAGAAAACAATACAACAATCTGCGGACTCTCGATCAAAATCATGTATATTTCATTTTATTAATACTAGGGTCATAAAAAATAACAATGGGAAGTACGGGTTTGGTCCAAAAAAGGTTCAAAAGCAGATGGAGAACTTTTAGAAAAAAATATTATACCGACAATCAGACCAGAAAAAAATTCAAACATTCAAAAAGTAGCAACCATTGAAATCTTCTCAATTTCATGTTATGGAACTCTAAAGAAACCCAATCAACAAAAGATCCAGTCTTGAGATATGATGTAGGATCAATCAGGGAGAAGAAGAAGAAGAAAGTAGAGGAGAGGGGAAACTGGGAGAGAGGGAAGAGACGTGGACAAACCAACAAAGAAAATGTCTTTCACTCATCAAATGAGAAGTTACAACCATATAAATGACAAAATACTAAATTTGGGTATGGGCCAAACTCATATACAAGTCCTACAAAATATAAACCTAAAATAGAAGATAAAAATGGCCCACAAATGGCCTGATGATGAGTATGATGTCCACATCAACTCTTCTGGAATGGGAGAAAAATTCAACCCCATCAAGTAGGTAAACTACAAAATGCTGCTGTCAATCTCCCAGCCACAAACTAAGCGGTTGAGCAAACTTTTTTCAACGTCTATAGACACATAAGGATGGTGATCCTGGTAATGGAAGATCTTGTTAACTCATATAATGCTCCAACAAATCGGGATCAAGCTGTTGAAGTGTCTCCTTGGAGATTCAAATACAATCAGAATCAGGACGACCCTCCCAACGAACAAGGAAACACTGAATGTCTCCATCCTTGGTTAATATGGTCTGTGCATCTAGAATAATATCAATTTTATTTTTACGTGCTGCAACAAGTGGAATCGGTGCAGGGATAACATGTTCAAGATGAGGGTCCACAAATGGAGGTACGAAAGTATCATCAGCAGGGTGAAATTGACCTTTATAAGAAACTAAGTCCTCAACATTAAAGGCAGGGTGTAGCCAAAGTGTGATGGTAAGTCAATGAAATATGCATTTGGACCAACACGCTTTAAAATTTTAAAAAAACCAGCACTACGAGCTTGTAATTTGGAAGTAGGCCCAGATGGACGCTGTTTCGATCTAATTCGAATCATAACATAATTCCCAACATTAAATTCAACGTGGCGTTTGTGCAGATCAGCTCAAAATTTATATAATGCATTACTCGCTTCTAGCTGCTTATTGATCTCAATATGCAAGTCACGCAAATGTTGTGCAAAAGACTCAGCTGACATGGACACACTAGCATGTGAAGACATGAGAATAAGGTCTAACGGCTTCCTAGACTTAAAACCATGAACAACCTCAAAAGGACTCATACCTATAAACCAATTCACTGAACTGTTGTATGCAAGTTGGGCGGTAGAAAAAAATAAGTCCCAATTCCTAAGATTTTCCTGGACTAGACACCTTAATAGATTACCAAGATTGTGGTCAACAACTTCAATTTGACCATCCGTTTGTGCGTGGCATGCTGCAGAGAATTTCAGTTTAGTGCCAACCATACTCCATAGGGTTCGCCAAAAATAGCTAGTGAAACGCACATCCCCATCCGAGACAATGGTCTTTGGGAGGCCATACAGCTTGACGATCTCATGAAAGTATAACTTAGCAACCTTAGATGAATCAAAAATTTTGTTACAAGGAAGAAAGTGTGCCATCTTCAAAAAGCAATCTACGACAACGAAAATGGAGTCGTGTTTCTTTGGAGTACGTGGCAACCCTAGCACGAAATCCATATTAACGTCTTGGCAAGGACTAGGGATAGAGAGAGGTGTGTAGAGGCCTGTGTTCTGCCTCTTTTACTTAGAATGCTGACAGGTGTTACATGTGACACCAATTTTAGCCACGTCTGTCTTTAAATTAGGCCAATAGAATTGATGTTCAATCTCCTCTATGGTCTTATCAGGCCTAAAATGTCTAGCCAACCCGCCAGCGTGACTTTTCCAAACTATAAAGTCTCGTACTGAAGTCCTCGGGATGCACAACTTATTGAATTTAAAAAGATAGCCCTCCTCCAAACGAAAACATCAGTGGTGTCCAACTCCCCATTTTGCAAGGCAAGAAAAATGTCTCTGAAATCGGAACATGACTCATACTCTTCCTTAAGTCTTTCGAACCTTATAACCTTAACACTCATAATGGACAACAAGGAAATGCGACGACTTAAAGTGTCAGCAGCTCGGTTTTCAACGCCCTTTTTATGCTTAAAGACAAAAGAATAGGCCTACAAATATTCGATCCAGCGGCCATGCCTAGAATTCAATCGTCTTTGGAAATTAAGGAAACGAAAGGCCTCATGGTCTGAAAAAAGGACAAATTCGTGGGGTAATAAGTAATGACGCCAATAGCGCAAGGCTTGTACAACTGCGTACAATGTTTTATCATAAGTCAAGTACCATTGCTTGGCATCATTTAATTTCTCACTAAAATAAGCAATAGGATGGTGTTCTTAACTCAAGACTCTACCTATTCCTATCCCTGACGCATCACATTCGATCTCAAAAACTTTGGAAAAATCTGGGAGCCGCATGATAGGAGCCTCAGTCATTTGTTTTTTGATTAACTGAAAGGCCTTAGCCGCTTCTTGTGTCCAATGAAATTCTCCTCTCTTCATACTTTGTGATGGGAGCCATGATCGTACTAAACCCCTTGTTGAAACGACGATAGAAGGTAGCTAACCCATGAAAACTCCTAACATCATGTATATTCTTGGGGTCAGGCCACTCAACAATTGCCTGAATCTTCACAGGATCAATAGATACTTCCGTAGCGGGAACAACGAAGCCGAGAAACATAACTGTATCCGTGAAGAAAGAATGTTTCTTCACATTGGCATACAAGCTTGTTGCACGCAGTGTAGAGCAAACTTGCGCAAGATGATCTCAATGTTGTTCCCTTGTTTTGATGTACACAAGGATGTCATCAAAGTATACGACAATGAATTTGCCCATGAAAGGCCGAAAGGCCTGTGTCATCAGCCTCATAAAAGTACTTGGAGCATTGGTTAGTCCAAAAGGCATTACCAACCACTCGTATAGACCATTTTTCGTTTTAAATGCAGTTTTCCACTCGTCTCTTGGGCGGATCCGAATATGATGATACCCACTCTTCAAATCGATTTTGGAAAAGATTGTGGCACCGGCCATCATATCTAGCATATCATCGAGTCGAGGGATGGGAAAACGATACTTGACAGTGATTGTTGACCTCGCAAATTGGACCCTCCACGTGGTCAACCGATAGCTAATCCAAGTATTCCTCCCTGCGCACAGTCAATGCACGGTTAGATGCACACGGCCAGAATCAACGAGGGTGGTGGCGGCCGCATACACTCCGACGGTCAAGTTAGCTTCAGGTGGTCGGAACAATTCCAAGGTTGTGCTAAATAAAGGAGAGGAGAATATATATTTGCTTGTGATGGAAAGCTATGTTGTAAGAGTTTCATTACCTTTGCCTCGTCAAACCTTCGGTATTTATAGATAAGGAGAAACGTTGATGTAGGACACGTGTACGCATCTGACGGTGTGAGACGTCTGCTCATAGGCATCAATCGGCCGCGTCTATAGAGTGGGCGGGTAATTACTTCTCCCGAGTTGAGTTGACATAAAGTTGATACTTCACATCAACTAGGCTCATGGAAACGTCAAATCAATTGAATCTTGGGGGCAGAAAGGATCTTAACATAGATTTCTTTTTGAAATTGACGACGGATCCTCTAATAGAGAATTTCGGCTTAAACTGCACTTCGAATTCAGGGACGAGG